TTTGCCAGCCAGCATCTGTTCTGTGGTAGCCGAAGGTTTCTGACAAGATAGTGATAATAACAGGAACTTGCTCTCACTTCCCCTGCATCCCAGAAGAACTGTAATTACCTCACATACAGATTTCTGATTAGGAACTGTTAATACCAATCAAAAACATCAGTTAGGCAGAGGAGATTATTAGAGAAAGGCAAAGATGTCTGTAAGACAAACTTATGCATGAACAGCATCTATAAATACCTTTTTTGTCAGATGGTTTGGATGGAAACATGCATTCAGTGTCACTTTCCCCAGTGTCCTTCCCACTGTCCCAGAAACTGGAAGAATTGCTTCCCGATTCCTCCTTGATTTGCCTCCTCGTAGTTTTCCAGTCTTTCCACTCCTTTTTTTTACCCAGAAGACATCTCCGCTTTTACACGATTGTGCAGCTGAGCGGCAGCACACGTTGTACCATGCAGGCTGTAGACCCTCTAGGTTTTACAGGAGGGAGAGCAGAGAAGTTTTTCTAACAAGGTTTGGACCGAGAAGCCTTTGTTATAAAGTCATGTGTCATTCCTTCTTTAAGGGAGAACACAATATAGCCCAAAGTGCCCTCTCTGCTTCATCGTAAAGGTTTGTCCTCGATAGACGGTGTGATACAAGGTGGTCTGCACACCCACACAGGGGCACAGGCAGGCAATGGCAGGAGGGGGAACCCAAATCACACCCTGCCCCAGCTGCTCCCAGGCGCATCCCAAGAGCCATCGGCCCATTCCCATGAACACGGAGGAGCACAGAGGCACACGGGCAGGTGGGGGCTCCCCAATGCCCCAGTCAGGGACACAAGCCCCCACCCGCTCCTCCCAGGGCTGCCCCAGGGGATCTTCAGTCCCACGGGCCAGGGGGAGACACTCAGCACCGGGAGTCCGTGGGAGCACCTTGTGGTCTGAGCTGCCTAGGGACATGGGACTCATTATGGGATGCGGGGAAGAGCATTTGGGAGTGGCCTGAGACTTATTATGGGATGTCTGGGGAGGCGACCAAAAGCAGGGAAATGAGGGATCTGGGTGATTTGAGAAGGAACACACATTGACAAATAGAGAGCGATAAAGGGGTATTAGGAACCAGTTGTATGTGCACAGCATCTGGTCAGTGTGTGTGCATGCATGTGTGTGCCTAGGGGTGAGGCACCTGGGTGAAGAGAGGTTCTCTGACCAGCTACTGGACGTCCCAAGCCAGCTTCTGGGGATCCACAGGGTTAGTGAGTGAGCATGGGGTCTGTACCAGCAAGTGGAGCGGGGTTGCACCCTCGGGGGCCTGTGTACCCAAGTGCCAGTGTCTGGGGAGACTGGTGGGATCTGGAAGCCAGCTACTGGATACATCAGTATAATCATAACATTGCTATGATCCAACAAACAAGGCTTTACAAATGCAGGAAATTCAGAATGAAATTTATTATCCAAACCATAAAATATACAGACACATGGGAAAGGTGCTATATCACTTTGTATTTGGGGGGAAGTTTTTTATTTGGTTACCTCTTTTGGACAGGCTTCAGCAGTTGTACCCAGCATAGGAAATATGTTCCTGAGGCCCAGAGGTGTGCCAGCTTTCCCACAGAGTCTAGCCCCATCCAGACCCTCAGCTCTCTTGCTATGTAAGAGGTGCCCTCATACTTGCAAGGAGAATTACCACAATAACTCTTCAGCTCTTCAGATCTATGGCTTCCCACAGCTTTGGCTTGTTTGAACTGTTGTTGACTAGTGGCACCAGGTGAGGTACTGCCTGCTTTTGAAGTACATCATGCCTGGTTTAAAAACAAGAGTAGCAAAAAGCAAATGGAGTATAAGTAAGTTTTTCTTTGATTTCTCCTAGTACCATTTCCAAGAATTCCTTGAAGGGGTCCCTGCTGCAGCTACAATGTCATTTTACATGGACTTTGCTGAAGCAGGATGTGGATCTTGAAGACCTAGAAGAAACAATATACTATCAGATTGAGTTTCTAATGAAATCCAATGCCATAAATTATAACCTGCTATCCTATGTATGTTACCTAAAGAATTCAAATGAAGAAGCCCTGAGAAATCTCAAAAAAGCTGAAGAAGTTGTTAAAAAAAATCATCCAGATGAAATTTCCAGGAGAAGTCTTGTTACCTGGGGGAACTATGCCTGGATATATTACCACATGGAGAGGTACGAAGAAGCTCAAACTTACATAAGCAAAGTGGAAGACAGCTGCAAAAACCTTTCAAATACCGCCCAACAGAAAATTCAGCTTCCAGAGATCTATGCTGAGCAAGGATGGGCATTCTTAAAGTTTGGGGCAAAATACTACGAGAGAGCAAAGAATTGCTTTGAAAATGCTCTGAAGGATGAACCCAATAACCCGGAATTTAGTGCCGGCTATGCAACAGCAATGTATCGTTTGGAATCGTTTTGTCACAGACAGTGTGAAGATATAAGTCGGTCCCTCGAGCCCCTGAAGCACGCAGTGGAACTGAATCCGAAGGATACTTTAGTTATGGCATTACTTGCTTTAAAACTTCAGGACATAAAGCGAGTTGATGAAGGGGAGAAGTACATTGAAGAAGCAATGCAGAAAACCCCTGATCTTCCTCATTTCCTGCGATACGCTGCTAAATTTTACAGAAGGAAGGGAGAACTGGACAAGGCACTGGAGATTTTGAAAAAGGCCCTAGAAGCAGCACCAAAATCTGCCTTTTTGCATCACCAACTAGGACTCTGTTACAGAAGGAAGCTGTTTGAACTGAAAAAGACAAGATATCCACCTCAAGATCAAGTGGAGGAACTCATCCAACTTTCCATTTTTCATTTTAAAACAGCAATTGAGCAAAAGACAACATTTTTTTCTGCCCATACCGACCTAGCAAACATGTATGCACACAACAAGAGGCATAAAGAAGCAGAAGAGACATTTCAGAAAGCATTTCAGATAAAAATTCTATCCTATAGTGATAAACAAGAATACTACTACCATTATGGCAATTTTCAGCTTTTTCATATGAAATCGGAATCTGAAGCCATTAAGTATTTCATAGAAGGGCTGAAAATTGAAAAAAATTCATATGGAAGGAAACTGTGCAAAAGTGCTGTGAAGAAATTGTTAGAACAGAGAATTCAAGGAGGTTTAGGAGATGCAACAGATTTTGGTACACTTGGATTCGTTCATAAATTAAATGGTGAGAAACGTGAAGCAATTGAGTGCTATGAGAAAGCCATTGCATTGAATCCCGACAGTGAAGAATATCTGAATGCGTTACATGAGCTACAACTTTCCAGCTGAAGCTAAAGCTCCCCAAATTCCTTCACACCAAAAAAAAAAACCCAAACCCAAGAACATTTCAACAGACTCTCAAAACATTTTGTTTTGTTTTTTAATTATAACCAGATGAAACATCTGGTGGCACCACTTTCTGGTGATAATGTAGGAACTGCAGATGATGACTGTTCATTTGTTTGTTCATTCACCAACAGCGAGCATGCTTAGAAATAGTAAATAACAGCTAAGCTATCTTAGTCTTCAATGCTAATGCTGATATAAGGGTTGTGTTTGAGTGATGAACTGTAGAACATAGAACTAAGCTAGAAATAAGATCCTACCTTCTACTGAGAAAAAGATAAGGGAACCATACTATACTATTTCATTTATCCACTTGAAAGGCATGCTTATACACAAATGGAATTTCTGATGCTTTTTCAAATATTTTAAAAAATCTCTTTTTTTAGTGTAACCTTTAAAAAACTTTTGTTAAAGACTTGTTCAGTACCTTGTATGTTGTTTAACTATGAAGAATAACCACTGTTTGGCTAGTTCATTGGAAAGCTTACAAAACATGTATTATTGCTGTGAACTATTAAAGAGCAGTGTAGCCATCAACTGTTGCTTCTGGTATCTCTCTGCTGACCAATCCTCACAGTAGTAGATGAAAGAAAGGGAAATGGCCATTTGAAAAACTAACAGAGATAAAGTTTTGGCATGATATGAAAGTGCCAGGAGATAGCCCCATTTATTTTCGCAAACTCTGAGCAAGGTGGCTTCAGAGGTGTTGCACCAAAGAATTAAACTGTGCATGAAACAACATCCTCCTAGTTTACCCAAAGCCGCAGTCTCAGGAACTGCTACAGCAGACATCCGGAGGGGAAGGAGAGGCAGTCTTTAAGATGCCAAAAAAGATGGCTATCTGCAGCCAAGCTCGTGAAACAAGCCAGAGATAGAAAATACACACAAGAAATGCACTGAACTGGACACGGAGGGCAGAGTGCAGCTAGAGCAAGGAGTTGCATGAGCACCGGAGAACAGGGCAGCAGAACACAAGGGACATGGGGGAAAAGGGGTGGGTGCCCACAGAGTCTACGTGACTGGAAGAAAGGGCTGAAAGGACAGATATCCAACTAAAAGTCAGTATTCTTTACAACAGGCCAGCCTAATTCCACAGTATTGTACCTTGGTATAATAGATCATGGTGTGCAGGAAAAACTAATGCTGTACTTCCAGAACACTTCTGAGCCCTGGCCAGTAGTGTAGAATATGCAAACTGATGGCAGAGCCCATCAGGCAGGATGTCCACTTTTGTTTCCAGCCATCCTGGGGCATCCCTGCCCCTGCAACAGCAGTCCCATGTACAGACAGAATGACAGGCCTGAAGGAGTATAAAATATGATGCCAGATCCTGAAACATCAAGAAAGTTCTCCTCTCTCAGCTCTCCCTCAAAGAGTGTTTCATAATACAAGTGAAAGTGATCAGGAGCTAAACAGGTTACAACCGCACCGTCTTCTCAAGAAAGGGCTGGGGCAAAATACATCCTTGTGTTCCAGCCACCTGCCAGCTTCTCTTTTACAAAGGTGTCCCTGCCTATGGAAAGAGTAGGGAGGGAGGAAGGCAGAAAAGACTGGGAGCAAGACTGACACACCACTTCTGAAAGCTGGTAGGAACAACCGTAGGTTTGAAGGCAGGAACAGGTGACTACCTATGGTGTTGTGCTCAGCTGCACGGGCAAAAGGGCATGCTGGGCGACCTCACTGCCTTTCTCAATCGAGGTTTCTAACATCAGCATCACTGCCATCCAAACCCTCCTGAGGGCACCGGGGGCAGCAGGGAAGAATTCGAGGAAGAGGTGGTTGCAGGGTCCCGAAGCCCTGCTGGCACATCCCTGCTCCCCTCCACACCCCGCCTGCCACCAGAGCCTCTCCTGCCTCTCTCCTGGAATATGAACCTTGCAGAAATAAGGAGAAGCAATAAAGTGTTCTGAGAAAAATGTGAGCCTGAATTTTTATGAAGAGTCAGATTGGCTCAATCTTCTCCACAGCAAAGAAATTGACTGTTGAGGTGTAGTGATGCAAGAAATCTGTTTATTGTGCCTTACCTGCTTCGGGCTCTGGAGGATTGTGCTGGACCGCCGTACCACCCAGGGATGCTCAGTGCAAACGCTGCCTTCTGGTTCTTGCCTACTGCCTTGTAAATGAGGAGAAACGTTATTTCCCACAGGGTGGTGCTGCTGCCTTGCCTGGCAGGGGAACACAGGGGAGAGGCTGGGCATGAGCTTGGGGAAGCGGACAAACCGAAACACGCGGTTTGTGGTGTCCAAGTCCGATGGGCAAAACCAGAACCACACAGAAGCTGAACACCTCTCAATTTGCACCCAAGTATGAATATATCACTGCAGCCTATGCTAGCAGTGCAGGGAAAAAAGCAAGTGAAGATCACCCTTCAGGAAATACTCGTTTATGAATCAAAAGCACCTTCTAAATTGTATAGGAAACTCTACTGTCATACACTAGAATAGTCACTTAGCAGAAGGTACCACCTATTAAGGTGATCCCGACTAAGGACTTCATAATGCTGACCATGAAGTACTGTTACAGCTTTAACTTAAACAAGCACTTCCTTTTCCTTGTAACACTTCAGAAAGCAAACAAAGAATTGTTGTGCCAATATAAAATATATTCACCATATAGGAGCACAGAAAACCTTTGTTTTTCAGGAGACAAATTATCACCCAAGCAGGCAGAAATCTTTCAGGCTCAAAATTTTCTCTTTTTTTCCCCTGAAAACAGGGTAATTTTTCAAGAGAAGGTACTCGGCTTTTCCAATGCTGTTTTCACACAATTTTTCAAGGTAAAAATTTATTAAATATTCCAAAGCTGATGTGATAAAAGTTATCACCAGCACATAAGCAATTTCAAAAGAAAGATGATTTCCCCATTTCAAACCTCATGGAATGCAAACAGATGGGATAACTTCAGCAGTTTCACTTACTTACACTGAATTCCCGTTCACTCCACGAAGAGAGTATTATTCCAGGCAGGATTCATTTGGGGTAGGATCCAGCCGTTTCTGCCTTGGGCAGACGTTACCCCAGCCGAGCCAGTCCCGGGAAGCCCGACAGGCTCAGCGGCGCAGTGCTCCATTGAAGCTCGCATCCATCAGCGCTCAACAGGGCTGCTGGGAACCTGCAGTGATAGCCAGGGGACTTGTTCACAACTAGCCCAGGTATCTCTGCCTACCGCTGTACCGTGCCATGCCAGGAGAGATTGTCTGTGGAGAACAGCCTGAATAATATACTCTCCAAAAAAACCCATTGAAGATACAAGCAATCATTTTTTAAACATGGCATAATCCAAAGGCTTCTATGACGCGCCATCTGAAACATTTTGCATGGCAGGATGAAGATGAGCTGTTCAGTTTGGGTGCTGTGGATCAGGGGGGTAGGAGTTTGGCATGAGGCTTTGCAAACTGCATTGTATTCCCATATCTTCCACTCACAGGTCACTTCTTGTTATGCTTCCTTCCTTCTGTTTGTGAGCTGGGGAGATTCATGACAGGGCTGATATCTCATGGCGTGCTTTATGCACAGGAAGCATCATTATGGTTTATAAGCTTTTGTCCATTGGCTTAATTCAGAGTAGAAACAGTGTTAGAAAACCCTGAAATAATTCTATCATCTTCTACAAAAGGTCTGTATATAAAACCAGTTGAATGTTTTCTGCTGAATTAGATATTTTAAACAAGAAATACTGCCTTAATTATAAGTTAAACACAAACCAGAAAAGCCTATGAAAAAAATCCTGAAATAAAAAAAAAATAAAAAAAATACTAATAATGTATTAGACATTAGCGTTTACTAGGATTAAAATGCATATAGTATTATTCCAACAGGCTTTTACAATATGCAGTTCTTGCATGAACAACTTCTGACATGTCATGATGTGGTAAAAAAAGTAATTACATTTTTGTAAAGTCAATGACAGCGTAACTTATAACTTGTTGAAATAGCTTATCTTCTTTGTAGACCACATATTCCGTACTTTTTGATATCAGCTTTTGCATTAAGATCTAAGACAATATCTTTATCACTACTAATTAATAAAGCCACCTTTTTTTTGCTCCCAAATGCACATATTTTTCCTAACTCATTAAGAAATACTCGTGGATAAATTTTGTCTTTTTTTATGAACGTATGTTAAAATAAAAATTAGGGCTCAGGGCTGAAAAAAAGGTTATGTCATTGGTTTTAAGCAGTTTTTGCACTCCCATCTCTTAATCTATGGTCTGCACACGTAAGCGATGCTCTGACCACACTTCTGAAGCGGGGCAGTGAGAAATGCTTGCTTTGAGCACAGACAACTGAAGTCAAACAATTTTAATACGTTATATTTGAAATACGCATGAATAATAGAACTACTTGATACACATACTATTCATATATGTATATAAAAATACATCATACCACTGTGTCTGTACTCTTGATCTAAATCAAATTTGTGAACATCAGTCTATATTGCTTTCCCTTCTGAGGCCCAGGCTGGGGTAGGACACCACGAGCAACCACTGAATACACTGCAGATGATTAACAAAGCTATTAGTTCAGCATTGATAAAAATCATTTGGACTCTGATCAATTTGCTAATGAAGAGAATGCAGCTTTATACAGCATCGAAACACAGAAGTGATTTACATTGCAGAGTGTGAAGTTCCTCCATTGCTGACAACAGTTTCACTCTGGAAATGTAGAAACAGCCCATTATTTATTGAGTCATCACATCCATAATTTACCCCGTGAGCCACACCGAGTCTCTCGCTCCTGTGAAGCAGCCAGCTGTAGTACATTCCTCACACGAGTAGCAGGAAACCATCAGCACATGGCAGCTGTTGCGTTCTGGCCATCCGGGACAAGTGGCCTGATCAGCTCTTCAGCTGGCACAAACGAGTAATTTGCACCATCTGAAGATACAGCTCCCGGGTCCGAGAAGAGACAGACTTGCCACTGGAATACGCAGAGAAAACTTTGTCTGCCAACATCCTTTTCACTAATGAATAGCCTGTGGAGTGGGCAGTTTCTCAGTCATCTGCTTGCACGGACTCTAAATTTCTTCAGCAGCTGCTGATTTTACAGGAGGAAGAGGCTCTGTGTTTGGAAAAACATGAGCCTGTCCTCTGGTCTCTGGGGCTGCCTTTGGGCTTCTTCCAACTAACACAGCTAAAGCAGGTTTGTCTATTAGCATGCCTTGTACCCTGGCACAAATTTACTCCTCTTCAGATACTAGAGGAGCCACAGCCACCGTGCCAGTCAAGGATCAGCTGGAGGATCATACCTGGAATGGCGATGTTTAGATATTCAAGCTTTAAAGATACCCAGGGAAAAAAAGCAGCAACCACCTCAAAATTTTGCTGTAGGGGGCTTGGGAAAGTAGGTCTAGAAACACACTTGAAATTAAATGGCAACTTATGTACAAAATTCAGGCACACTGTAAAAATTAAAGCTGCTCCAAGGATACTTTCAGCATAGATCACAGTTTGCTGCCAGATTTTCTACAAAAAAAAAAAAAAAAAAAAAAA